CTTCCACATACTTTGCAAATCATTTGTTCCTCACTGGGGAACATTATTGCCTTCACTCTACCAATGAGAAAGCTGAGGCTCCAAGATGTTAAAATAACTTCCACAAAGTTAAACAATTACCAGCTGGAGGAACTAGCACTGCAACCTTGGTCTTGATGGCCGGATCCAAGGCTCTGGTTACCCAGTACCAAGTCCTATGATTTCTATCAGTGTCTCTCCCTTCCCTCCTTCTCTTTTCTACCTTTCATCATTATTGCAACAGCCTTATACCCAGTCTCCCTCCTGTTCCTCCCACAGTGAGTCTTAATTGCTTGGTAATGTGGATCACTTTAAGTCACTTCAGGAAAAGGCATATAAGCATGCATGCAAATATTTTTCATATAATTTGAAGCTCGTTCACAGACCCCTAAATTAGTGACCTTGCTTTCCCCCCTCAGATCTATCCCCTACATCTCCAAATGACTCATCTCCTAAAACTCCTCTTTGATCATAGTTCAAGGCTCAAAAACCTTTAGTGGTTTCCCAAGGCCTAGGAAAGGAAACAAAGATTCACTACCCTGGCATTCCAGATCTCTCCTTTCCTCTTAGTGCAAGTCCACTACACAAATTCCAGGTCCGCTGTCCTAACTAATACCTGCCATCCCTCAACTACGCTTCATGCTTCCTCACTACGTGCTCAACATTACACGTTATCTACATGCAGCCTCTCTGCCTGAACAGACTCCATAACAGAACCCACTCTTCCTCCCACATATAGCCCATTCCATCTTTGAACTGTCCCAATGCTAAAGAAATAAAAAGTAAACAACAGACTTCTCTCCTATGTTAAAACAAAAATTATCGCCCCATTAGCATCTGTGGTATTTGAAGCAACAGGTAGTGAATTTAAGCTGGTTCCACACAATCTCTCCTTTCTGCTTGCCTTCCTTGGTGCATCTCGTCACTTTTTCATGGACGGCACTCAGAATGGAGCACAGTTCTCTCCATTTGATAGACAGCTTCAATAATTATCAATATTTCCCAAGCACTGGTATATATTTTTAAATAGCGAAATTCAAGCTGAGGAAGTGGCCATTAGCCGGGGCCCACAAAAAAGGACAGGACAGGAGAAAGGACAGCAGATTCTAGAGCAGGTGATGCCACTAGGAGCCGTGTAACTGGCACACTTTCTCTGCGTGGCATCCCCTCTGAACCGGGAAGACTTCAGACTGGACTAATAAAATGTTTGGGGCAAAAGGAAATACTCAGGATGCAACCTGACTCTCTAGAAGGTATGAACAGAGAAATCTAAAACATCAAGAAGATCTAAAGGATGTAAAACTCAAATCAAAACACTAAAAATCAAAACACTAAAATTGGACTCCCGATTCTTCAGCATTCATAATCAAATCACCTGAGGTCTCTTCTGATTCTGGGAGGAGATGATTTCATCCTCAGATATGCTCTTGGGAGGAAGCACTAACATAGCCTCTCCTCCAAAAACCTATCTTCTCTTCTCCCTAAATCTAGACTTTGCTTTAACACCAGGGTCCCAAGTGGCCTCCCAGGAGCTCTCGTGGCTCCTTCTGTTCCCTCCCTCGTTCCCACAGTGTGGCCGGCACAGACAGAAAGGCCTATAGCCTGGCTTTGACACCCCAAGTGTCTATCATGCTGGAGCGCAGGAAGGGGCTGGAAGTACTGGTAAATAAGAGCCAAACTGAGTCGTCTGGAAAGGTGGGCACGTACCTCTTGAAGCAGTGTGCTGCCGTAAGGACCCAGCAGCTACTCAGGAGCGTGGCCCCGCAGAGCAGCCTGCCATCTGCATGGGATGACCTCAGCCGCAGGGACACTTGCCAAGGCCAACCACCCCTAAGCCAAAAGGAAGCCACACATCAGTAAAAGGCAGAAAAGCAACCACTAAAACAATGACTCGGAAGGCTTGCAGGTGGGAGGAAAGGAGTATAAAAAGGACTCAAGGGTGCAGGACCCCTTCCTGCTTTGAGAAGGATGCCCCTACAACTTTGAGCAGATCCCACGGAAGATTTGCTTATAGCGTCTGTATGCACCCCACCCATCTCCGACCCCCTTTAGAGACAATTTCTGTCTTCTTGACATTTCGTGGTTTGAAGCAGATCTTCCCTCCTCACTCAACCTCACCTAAGCAGCCTGAAGAAGTATTTAATAAGCAAAGTGCTTGTTTTCCTTTAGTAAATTCAATAAATTAAAAAATTACGTTAAAATAAGTCAAGTCCAAGACAACTATATTCTTAACTAAATAAATTTTGTACTTAAACATTTTTTTCAGACATCCTGTTAAATTAGTTTGTTTCTGACATACAACTTTTCAGCAACCCATCCATCTCATAAATCAGGGAATAGTGATTTGAAGAACAGAGTCTATAAAAAGCAAACATAAGCCAAGGATGGTGAAATTCTCAGTGTAATCTGTATTTAATTTAGGAAATAAAATAAGTAAAATACCTTATTTAATAGTAGAAAGCCCCCCAGTTCATAACCTGGTATGTATATAAATAACTCTGTAATACAGAAAATCTCCTCTGAAGAAGCTTTTACCGTAAAGAATTTTTCCCACCAATGATCCGCTTCTGCCGACGGTGCAATAATCTCAAACCACAAACAGACGACAGGGACTCTGAAGCAGAAAGAGGTTTTTAATCAAACTTGCATACTGCTCACAGTGGGGTAAAGACAAGCAACACAATCCCCTGTTGCTTCTTCCTCAAGTTTAAAATGCCTTCTCTCTTCAAATCCTTACAATAAAAATTAAAACTGTTTTTTTCATTTAACCAAGGTAATGATGACCTGCAAGTAGACAAGGAACTTTCTGAGGTTTTCCACAATCAGCTCTGAAGAGGTCTAACAGGCTGCTGAATGGTGGGGCCCCATCCAGTACATCATCCTTATGGGTACCCGCACCTCCTCCTCTGCTGATTATACAGACTGTCCGGCAGTTCAGAAATGTGAAACAAAACAAGAGGGCTACCAGAGGCAATGACGCTCTGAATTCACAGACAGCACTCTTCCAAGCCATAAACAAATGTAACTCAGAGGAGCAGAGTATATTCCCAGGGTGGAATTCTGAGATAAATTTACATTTACTCACAGAGCATACTGATATATAGAAAGGCTTGACTAAGCCAGTGTAAGTGGCAGACTGTATTTAAGGCAGATGACCAATAACCAATGGCTTGAGTTTGAATCACTTCATAGAAGTTACTAGGTGTTAAGCCTCCACCCAAAATCAACGAGTTAATAAGCCAGATTCAGTAATTCAACTGGTCTAAGATGAAATATTTTTACTTGACAAATGGAAACATTAGGACCATGGAAAGATATCACGTATTGCTACAAGTCTAGGAAAACAAGTGTATTAATAACGTGAGAATAAACTCGGCATTTCATACTTTAAAATAGGTTTACATAGAAATACGGTAAAAAAATGTACAATGATTGAATCTTTATGTTTCTCTACTGCTTAAGAAATTTTACATAGCCCCAAAAATTAGTTATGCTCACTTTGTGACTGTAGTTTAAATTATTGAAGGACATTTAATAAATTAAGTTATAATCAGTACTTAGAAAAAACTGACTTACCAAGTAAAATTTATTATATAGCTATTTAATATACATATAAATATTTATATATAAAACAAAGCAGAAAGCATAAAGGGTTGAAAGTATTCTCTATACTCAAAAGACACTCAGATAGTGAAGAATCATATTAACAACATCCAACTTATTTATTGCATTGTCTTTAATGGTTGTTAAAAGATGACAGAAAAAGAATGCTCAGATATAGATGCATTTGATTTTAAGAAAATCTTATATATCAAAATTGTGAACTTTCAATCCACATAAGTGATTGTTCTTTTCATAAAATATAACCATAGACTTTTCCAAATAGCTAGTTTTTTCCCTTTTCTGTTTAAAGCAGTATTTATTTGTTTTATAAAAATTGAACTCAGAGCTTTTAACTCCACTATTTATATAAGTATGAAACATTCATTACTATATTATATTAAAGATTACTTCTCATTTTCCTTATAAAATCTGAGAATAAAACCTACAAAAAATAATTTCTTTTGCAATGAATTTTAAAATTATCCCTGTTGTTTACGATACTAGTAAGAGCAGAAGTGCCTTTCTATGATTCATCTTTAAATTTTCATTACTTTCTTTCTTTTCATGATGTAAATATCAATTCTGAATCTTCAAGGATACTAACAAGTTTGACAGTTTTATTATATTCAAAGATGGAAGGTTTAGAAATGACTGAAAATGTCAAAAGGCGGCAATCCCAGAGATTACAAAATCCTGTAAACTCACTCTTTGCCCTGAACCCTGCTCTCTCTGTAAGTCTCACCTAGGCAAGTTTTTGTCAAGAGCCACTGTCTCCAAATAACTAGCAGGAGGAACAAGGGTCTGAATATATTCTTACAAAAGGGGATGTTTGTTATCAAAATACTGTTTACAATAATAAAGTGAGGATTAGTGTTCTTTGACTTGTAGAGGCCCCAGAAGGCTTACCTTTATTGCTGTTACCTGATGCTTTCTTGCCAAAATAATCACAAATAACTCCTGCATCTTCACTGTGGCGGCAGTTGTGTCTTCCGATATCTTGTTTGATACAGTCAGCCAGGGACCTCTCATTTCCTGTGCACTTCACATTATCCACATGGATGGGTCCTTTTCCTTCCCCAAAATAAGCCATGGTCCTCGCTCTGGCAGGACCCCTGGAAACAGAGCATTCTTGAGGATGTGGAGAATCAAGTCAATCATACATTTGAATAAATCACAGCATATATTCTCATTCTATTATTTCTTAACTTTTATACATTGAAATTATATCTATATGTGCTTAAAAAACATTTATTTCATAACTGTTAAGAAAAGCTAAAGAGAGATAATAACTACACATTCTTTGTTTTCATAACCCACAGCCTCTTGATTACATCTTAGCTTCTGCTTAGAATGTCATACTTAATGGCATGTGAAAAAGTCACAGTAAGAGGGGGTGGAGGGATAAATTGGGAGTTCAGGATTTGCAGATACTCTATATAAAATAGATGAACCAGCAAGGTCCCACTGTACAGCTCAGAGAACTATATTCAGTACCTTGTAATAGTCTATAATGAAAAAGAATATGAAAAGGAAAATATATGTGTTACAACTCAATCACTATGCTGTACATCAGAAATTAATACAACACTGTAAACTGACTATACTTCAATAAAAAATTTTAATAAAAAATGTTTAAACAGAAAAATAAGAAACAAACAAAAAATTCATGTAGTCTTGAACCCTAGTTTAAGCAGGAAAAAAATTGTCTCCAAATTTTCTACTCCCTTCCTGAGCATAATACTCTCTTAAAATTGATATAATATTTCCAAGAAAATAATGAGAATTAAATAATTACTTAGGGAGCTAAGAATTTTAAAGCCTGTTTTAGAAGTAAAAAAGTACAATTTTTAACTGAGGAAGAGAAAACCAGAAATCATTAATAAATTATTTACTTTTGGTAAAAGCTTTTTTTTTCTGTTTTTTAAAATAATATATTACTTCTCTTTAGATATCTAAAAACAAAAGCTTTTTAATGAGTTATTTCAAACTAATACCATATTCGAAACTCAATTCCTGATCAGTTAATGCGTAATTACGAATGGTAAGGTTTCAAGATTTGAATTATAGGAAAATTGTCCTTATAACCTCGTTAGGGAAAGATTTATTAAACAAAACATAGATGGAATATCTTAAATTAAAAGACTGATAAATTTCAAAAAAAATTTAATTAAGAACGCCACTTTGATAAAAACCACCCAAAGGAAAGTGAAAAGACAAATATAAAAGTTGATGAGTATATTTGCAATACATGTTTACATATATATTTGCTGGTGAATACATTCTCTAATAGAGGGGAATAGCATATAATATACAAATAATTATCAAATCTCATTTAAAAAATAAAAAAAACAACAACCCGATAGAAAAACAGGCAAAAGACAAGTTTTAAATCAAAGAAACTGTCTTATTAAAACTGACAATTTGGACCAGATTTCTAACATCAAAATAGATTCTACTTAATGAAGATAAGGTTAGTATACTTTCCTTACAGTTATGCAAGGAACTCAGGCAAAGTAGTTTATTGATATGGATTATCTGAGGAATTTGCTTGAATAATCCCCTTTCAGCAATGAGACTTGGCCTCACATGCTTGTAGTTGGCAGCACATTCATTTCAAAAATATACCCCGTTATGGGAGAGTGGTAGAGTGTATGCTTAGCATACACAAGGGCCTGGGTTCAATCCTCAGTACCTCCTCTAAAAGTAAGTAAGTAAGTAAACCTAATTACCTCCCCCTCCAAAAGAAAAACAAAACAAAAAATAAATAAATTCAAAAGTACACCCTGTCATTTCTTCTGTATTGGTAACTGCTACTATGACATAATTACAAGTAAAAATAAGATTTAACCCATCAGAAATGCTCGGTCATGCAAGATCCCTGTCCCCAACAGGTGACTCTAAAGGTACTCTTGAAGTAAATCCTTTTTTATACAAAACTCTTTTAATAGCTTTATAAGTAATAAAAGCTCATTTTATCAAATTTGCAAAATAAAAGTATAAAAAAATCCCAACCCACTGCTAATATTTAGGTACACATTTATGGGGAAAATACTAACTATAATTTTTAATGGTTAAAAAAATTCTTTGTACAAATTAGTGGATCTCAAACTAAGTAAAGGTCTTAGATCTAGTATTTAACAAGCCCCAGGTGATTCTTATGCAGGTGGTTCTGCATCAAACTTTAGTGCAGAAAAAATAGAATTTATTTCCCTACTGTTGCACACTGACTTTTAAAATTTTAGATTTCTTATAATTATATACATCCTTATATAAAATCTTGGTGGACAGCTGAGATTTCTTCCCAGAAGTGGAATTTTTATTCAACAGGTATAAACATTTTTTAGTGTTCTGGATATATACTGTTAAATACAGGGCACATCTTTGGAAAGCAAATTATACATCTGAAATGTTATAATTAAAATGTAACAATTTTTAAAAAGGTGTTTTCTGTTTTACTTTGTCTATCAGAGTTCTCATCTGTCTGGTATATATTTCTGTTTAGTGTTAATAAAGGATCTAGCTTTATTTTGGGCCCAAAAGTAGTTGTCCCAGTAACTTCCTACTGATTTAAAGGGCTTTTTAATTTACTTATTTACTATGCACATAAGTACCCAAGCCATTTCTTGGTCTTTATAGTTTAGTAATTAGCTACACGTTAGAATTACCTTGGGAGCTTTTAAAATAAAGCAAAACCTGACCCCAACCTGATGTCAATTAAAGTAGCATTACGACCTCAAGTAAAGTGGGAGTGGGGCCAGACATGGGTAATATTTTTTAAATCCCAAAATGATTTCAATGAACAACCGAGACTGTTAACCACCGCTGTAGTTGGCATCATTGATGTCTTTGCCTACTCCTGCGCCAACATCACACGAATTTGATTTCAGGTGAATTTGGAGGTCAAGTCACCCTCCCCAGCCAGCCAACACCCACATCAAGAAAAACAAAAGATCTCTAGGAGGATAGCACCTCATTCAATGTTTAGATTAATTTCTATTTTGTCTTCCCATTCAGGGTTGTGGTGTATCACTTACGAAGTCTTCTAGCTTTAGGAAAGATTTAGTTTTTTTTTTCACATAGACCTCAATTCTTGTGAAGTTTATTCCTTATTTTTTTTTAATTTTGAATCTTCTATAAATGAGATTTTTTTTTATTTTTATTTTCTCCATTACATATAGGAACACTATTGCTTTTTTAAAAACATTTATATTTTATATTGTTGCATTAATAAACATTAGCTCTAGTGTCTTTCCAGTTGTTTCTCTGGGGTTTCCTAGGTGAACAATCATATTAGTCATATAACAGTTTTGGCTTTTTCTTTAATACCAATACCTCAATTCTTAATGATTCATGAAATTGGAGCTCCAGACAATATTGAGTCATTACAGTAATAGCAGGTACACTTATTTTATTCCTATTTGATGCTTGTCTGTGATATAGAGTCAAAGTAGTTTTATTTTATTCTCAGCTTCCTAAGGGATGTGATGAAGGAGTGCAGATTTTTATTGTATCTTTTCAAAATTATTAAGATGCTCATATTTGTTTTCATTTATAAACAACACACTCTAATATGTCTACTGAATGCCTCAGCTCAAAACATTCTTCTATACTTGCAATAGACTCTGTTTGTGGTATTGTTATCTAAATATACTGCTGAATTAAATTTGCTAATATTTTGTTTAAATTTTAGTGGTAGTGGGGTAATTAGGTTTATTATTTATATATTTAATGGAGGTACTGGGCACTGAACCCAGGACCTCATGCATGCTAGGCATGCACTCTGTCACTGAGCTGTACCATACCCACCTAGAATTTTTAATGTAGATTCATGAGATTGGGATAGTTTTCTTTTGCATATGTGTACCTATCTTGTCTAGTCTTGAAACAAAGTTATATTAGCCTCATAAAATGAATGGAAAGATTTTCATCTTTTTTTCTTCTTTTGCTCTACAATAATTTATATAACTCGAAACCATCTGTCTTAAAGATTGGTCAAAACTCTCCAGCAAAAAGTCAGAGTCATTTCTTCTGTGGTCATTCCTTCCTATCTTTTTTATCAATTTTTATAATTATATTTTTGTTGAAAATGTAGTTTCCGAGATAATTGTTCATTTCATCTAGATTTCCAAATTCATTAACTAAAAGTAGTTCACAGTACTCTACAATTTTTTTAACCTTCTGTGTATTTGTGCTTATATGCCTTTTCTCTAATGTCTACCTGTATTCTCTCCTTTTTTTTAATTGGAATTGCCAGAGAGTGCTATTTTATTAATCTCTTTTACAATGCAAATAATTGCTGATATGTGCATGTAAATGTAAGCAACCTGAAATTCAAATAGGCATAATGTGAAGAAAATTAAAAATTAATAGCATCCTGAAACTAATCCTAGATGATTCCCATCAGCTTGGGGAGTGAGAATGAGCAGAGGTAGAAAGTAACTAACAGCATGCTAAATGTCTTGATATTTTTCAGAAAAGGTAAGTTTTTGAAATGGGTAAGAAAATACGCCAGCATGTTTGCTAAAAATTTAAAGAGAATTCCTAGTAAAACAATAAGAATGCTGAAATTCCAAACCACTAGAGAAAGCAAGGAAAGAAAATAGAAAATTAGATTGCTTGCAACCTTCAAAAAACAGAAGGTTACACAAAGAACAGACAACACAGCATGATAAATAGCGTAAAAGTAGATGACGGGTGGAAGTAAACTGGTAGAAAATAAAATTAGACTCATTAAATAAAACAAAAGGATGATTTCTTAGCAATTTACCAATCAATGTATAGACTATGTATCACTTTAGACACATGACAAGTTGAGAACATTGTTAACTAACAAAAGTGCATAATTAAAGACATTCTCAATGATATAGTGAAATCTAATAAATTTTTCTTTGACTTTTTAAAAAATAATTAAGGACTCTGTCATCTGTACATAAAAGGGAAAGGACTTCTCGGTGGGCTACACGCATGCAGTAATTCACAGCTGAGAATTTCCACAAGACAATACGCTCTAATACATTAGTCGTTAAACTGGGTATCAAGGGCTCCTAGGAGTAGATGATGACTTTCCAAGGGATGTAAGGCCTTTACAGGAACCGATATGCAGATCAAGAAAATCTATGTGTATTCTCTCCTAAAACTGGTCTTGCTAAAGTCAAGATCAACCTCTCTGTCAAACTTTCCCTTTTCCCATTTCACAAAAGAAAGGCACCTCTTTCACTCATCCTATCTGATCACAGGGTACTGTTCCCAGATTTAAAAGCCTCTAAAGTGGCCAAAAGAACAATTCAAAATAAATGATAGCAATGAAGCCTCCTTTAACCCAACCTATCTAAGTCTAAGAAATAGGAGCTTTGGTCAACTTTTCTTCCTTATGTTTAATAATTATTTATCAAATTTTATTTTTTGTTGTTGTTTTTAATTAGTTGTGTAAGAGAAACCATCAAATCCTAACAGGAACTTGTTAGAAGAATTAATTTCTCTCTCTTGCTCTCCTCATGTGTGTACTCAGACACACACACATTTTTAAAAGCATAATAACATTAGGATTATGTGGGGAAAGAAAATTTAAAACACAATTTCAAGGAGAAAAATGAACTATGTAAAATTTGTGAACATCAAAGAAGAACATGTTCATGTATTTTTTAAGTGAATGATAGAGTATCAAAGCACTATGATATTTCTATTTTATTGGATATAATTAAAAGATGATATAACTGTTCTATTTTTAAATGTCATATACAAACATGCCAGAAATTAACTTCTCTGAAGCTATTTAAATGTAAGATAGAAGTTATACTTAATTTTAGGTCTTTACGACAACAATAAGGTACATTATTTTTTAAATTCTTCTAAAGGATACTACTCTAAAAAATACACAGTCCAAGAACAATGTTATATTGAAATATATGCTAATGGATTCACACAAAGTTCAAATAGAATGGAATTTTCATCATAGCTAGTCTGTCTTAACAAGGTTTACTGATACAAACACATTCTCTCTCAACCCTCTAAAAACAAGTGCTCATGTGCTAGACTTTGTCAGACATTATGTAATAGATCATTAAAGAGTGCCTGTTACTTTCTGTTCACTCTAAATATATCTATATTAGTTACCATTCACGTTCCTGGTATTCATTACTTCATTTCTGTTTCTCCCATTATGGGAAAGCTTTCTAATGCTATTTTGATTCTCAGTGTTTCCAAGGACTAATCCTCAAGTGTGATATGGCTGGCTGAGGGACAGGCCTCTGGAATTCTTATTAATAAAGCACAAGCCTTTTGACAGCTTCAAAGTTTTCTGGATTGATTTCTACGAACAAATGCTTTATTAAAGATTTTTAATAATTCAAAGCTGGCATGGGGAGAAAGAGTCTCAGTCTAATCACATAGCTATTTACAATTATATTTAACTCTTATATGTAAAATATTTATATACATATATAAAACATATTGAACATAATTGTTCTTATATAAAATTCCATTTCCCCTCAGTGGGAAATTATAAAGACATTCAAGTATATTTAGACTGATCAAATATATAAATGATTCTCGTAAACACTATTTGATGGCAAACTGTAGATTGTACACTAGAAGATGACTATTCAATTTGTTATAGTAACATTAAATTACTGATTTATTAAGAGGCTTTATTTTAAAAAGCAAGTACAAAGTTAAGATCTTCTTTGCTTTTCTTGATAATAGTCACAGAAATATTATTGAAAATTGCTACAAACTTTGTCCACTTAATCTAGGTTGTTTCTCACCTAAATTCACTATTTGAGTTGATTATAAAATGGACTAAATGATAAGTAAAAAAGCAATGAAAAATGTATAAAGAAAACAAAGTGAAAATGCATTGATTAATATTCTTACAGACTTTTTCTCTCCTTAAGCATGACTTAGACACACAAGTCAAGGATCAACTGTGATCTTTCCTTTCCTATTTTCCTTCATGTTTCCAAAGGTAATACCAGGTGTCCTGAATCACCACTATCAAAAAAATAAAAATAAAAGTAAGCCAAAATACCAGTCTCGAGCAGCAATATACTTTAATGAATGATTTTAGGTAAGGAAATTCACTGGGAACGTAATGTAAGAATAATAAATTTTTTTTTCAAATGGAGGAAACAAGGTTAGAAATACAGTGAGCAAAAAAGGAAACTTAAATTGCTGACTAAATTCACCTAGGCATCTAATGCAGACTTCTCCTACCTTCGTCTACTACCCCACATACCACCAATTTTGGGGGCTATTTATTTATTTTTTAGAAATTGTATGTTTATTGGGGGGGGTGTGATTAGGTTTGTTTGTTTGTTTGTTTGTTTATATATTTAGTGGCAGTCGTGGGGATGGAACCCAGGACATTGTGCACCTTAAGCACATAATCTACCAGTGAGCTATTCCCTCCCCTCTACACACCACCAATTTTGAATACTGAAAATCTGTATTACAAATAATGGACACATTGACCAGAAGACAATTAGAACTGCAACCAGGTCCAAAACTGAGCAGTACATTGAAGTAGTATCTCAGCAACCAAAAACAATCCTTGACTTAAAACTTTAGAAAAAAACATTTGAACTTTCATTAAAATAGAAATACTTTCAAAAATAAAGATGTATTCTTTTTTAAAAAAAGATGTCTTCAGCAAAAGAATAACCAGTTAAATGTATCAATACTTAAGATACACATAGATGCATAATTAAGGATACATTTTAAAATCCAAATTGCTATTAGTAATACACTATGAGCTAGGCAATTTATGTATATTAGTTCAAATTTCATAATCCTCTAAACTGTACCATGTTCCATATATTTCCTGCTCCAAAATCAGAGTTTTCATGGTCATTTGCAGACATGGGTAAAGTCTCAAAACACTAGAGTTGCCCAGTTGAGTTCTCAAAAGGAGATCAACTGCCTTTTGACTTCAGCTCTCAAACTGGAAACAAGGGTCCTTTTCCCAGTTTATTTAGTGCTATGTTTTTCCGCACTGTAACTCATGCCTGAATGAAGCCTTTCTAACACACTTATTTTCCCCTTAAGGCAGTCACAGCCTTCCTTCATTCAGGAATGATAGAAAGCACTTCAGCAAAACACCAGAGGGTTATTTTAAACAGTGAACTCATCAACAAAAAGGCACAAAAAAAAAAAAAAAAGGCACCAGCAGACTGCAAAAAGGACAATTGCTTGTAATCACAAGAGCTAAAACAAAAAGGCAGAACATCCCTTGGTTCAACTCAGCTCTAGAAGCAATGGCTCAGTATTTCCTAATTCAGCGTTCACAGTGACTTTATAGGATATAATTACTGCAAGTGACAATAACCAACAGTAATTTCAGTAATTGCAGAATCCCTCAAAGGGCTACTGTGTTGAAACATAAATCACAGAATAAAGGTTAACACCTCTGGCTGACAGAGGAGTATTATGAATAGTCAAGTGTTATCAGACTGTTTATTATTAGACAAAAGCTACATTTCTTGACTAACATAATGTATATACTTCTTATGAGAAAATAAAAAAATTTAGATATTTACTACGTAATATTTCTTTATAATTCTGAATCAAATCAGCATGCTGCCAGCATTTTCCATTGAATCATATTAATTTTTGGCAAGGACAAGAGTGAAAACTCAGAAACGTTCATCAAGTAACGACCGCAAATAATTAGGTTTCCCTTACTTGTAGCCAAGCTGTCGACAGATCACAGCTGCATCCTTATCAGTCCAGCCATCATCACAAATTGTTCCCCACTGGCCATTGATAAAAACCTCCACTCGTCCTTCTTTCTTATTTTCTCCATCCATCAGTCTGATAGGAAAACCTAAGTCATGATTCAAAGGCATTAGAAAAGCCAAAGCAAGCAAACTGATGCTAAAGCATAAGAGACTTTATAAAACACTACTTATTTTTTAAATGAGTTAAAAATCAGCTGAGCAGTTAGAGAGAGAGAGAATATCCATTAAAAAAAAAAACTGTATCTACTTTTGCAATATCTTTTGGAGCCTTGAGGTCAGAGTGCTGACCTTGCTCAACTTTGTATTCCCAGCACTTGGAACAGTGCCTGGCATAATAGAGAACATGTAATAGCTGTTTGCTGAATAAATGAATAAACAGCACTGTAAAACTGTGAATTGTATTACTACCCCTAACTTCTAGACAATAAAAGACATTAACTTGGAGTTGTTTTTGTTCTATATCTACTCATTTATCCATGAACACAGCTAGAAATTTATACTTCAAAACTAGGATTTTTAGGAAGAATTTTTAGGATTTTTAGATACACCCCTGCATGTACAAGTAACTTGAATGATGAAAGACAAGACAAGAAAAGAAAAGAAAAGAAAAGAAAAGAAAAGAAAAGAAAAGAAAAGAAAAGAAAAGCAAGCACCAACAAGGACAATTTCCATCTCAGACTTCCTATTTATGATTGATTCCAAAGGAAGGGCTTAAGTCCAAAAAACTACTAAGATGTGAAAGTTAAGACTGATCTCTAGCAAATTGGGGTTTATCTAAATTATGCAAATGAAGTGATTTGTCATTGAGTTTTTCACACATCTCTGTCGACACCAATAAATACGGTTTTGTTTAATTAAAAACTCTCACTATGACTTGCATACTGTCATGGGTTGAATTGTGAGGTAATATATAGAGTGGGCCCTAATCCAATTTGTACACGGAGCTATACAGAAGGAAGATGATGTGAAGAGACATAGGAAGAAAACGGCCATCTGCAAGCCAAGGAGAGAGGCCTGGAACAGATCTTTCCCTCTCAGCCTTCAGAAGGAACTCACCCTGTGGACAACTTGATTTTGGACAGCTAGCTTCCAGAAGTGTGAGACAACAAATACTTATTGTTTAAGAAGCCCAGTCTGTGGATACTTTGTCACAGAAACCGAAGCCAACTAATATACACACTTTAGATTACCCAGTTACTAGAAAGGTCTCCAGCTTTGAGGCCCCTAAGGTTTACTGATAAGGATTTAGGGAATACAATCAAACATGGTGAAATTATCAGAACTAAGCAGGTGAAGGAAGCAGCTAATGAACAAAGTATGATTCAGTATGTGCTTAAACCAACACATACAATCACTAAATTCTTTTCTTTTCACTGAAGGAAAATACTGTTGGCAAGACGGACACGTCCTACTTTGACGCCTTTGATTCTCCTTTGTTGCCCGCAGAATTGCTGGCTAATTCCTGCTCCTGATTACACTCACTTCGTGGAACAGGCATCATAGTAGAATCAACGGGGAAAAGTTAAAATCAGCAAATGTTTGCGGAGTGCTGACTCTATGCACTGCTTACTTTAGCTAAAATTCTTGATGTTTTAGGGATGTCACAAAACACAGTATATTTGAAACTTCACATTTCTTATTATTGTATCTGAAATTTGAGGGGTCTTTGTAAGTGGAGCAAGGTGAAAAAGTGATCCTCAAAAAAAAATTTAAACAGAGGAAATTCCTAAAGTTCTCAATTTTTACATTTTTCGGATCTTTGGTGCAAAATTAAAAAGTCATATGCACATGGAATTAGACCTCCACATTCTATCCTAGTTGTTTTATGGGCAGTTTTTCATATGTCATATAAAAATAAGAATGATAAAGTATTTTTAAAGCCTAAGATGCATACTGTGTGAAAACAATACATACAATATTTCCAAACCTAATTTTAGCCATTTATTTTATCAATTCATTGGATTTTCGATGCTTGAAGGGAAACTGAATGACAGAAGCCATCCTATCAATACCACCTTGCTGTTTAAGTTCTTTCTATTATGGCAATAATAATACACATGTTTTATTTCTAAAATCTTAAATAAATACAAACTTCATGGGAAAACTAAACAGTCCTATGGTTATACAGTATCTTTAATTATATATTTCAAACTTTGATTACAATAACTTACTTTAATTTTTCTGTAATATTGATTTAATACATAATAATTAAGGAAATAATATTTTTCTTAGAAGAAAGATAAAATCTAGCATAAATGTGAATAAAAAGTCAAATTTTGTGCTGTAAAATTGAGTAAGAGACAATATCACTGGGAAAGAAATCTCTGCTAAGATGTAATACTCTGAACTTAAGAGTTAATGCAATATTAAAATGAGAAATCCACATATTTACCATCCCACAAATTTCCCCCAATTCACATAGGCATTAACTGCATTCTCACTAAAACTACTTTTACTGACCTACAGTATTGTTTTTGAGCATTCTATCTACCACACACCCAAAAACAGAAAGTATCTATTGAACTATTACTCATTTTGAGAAAAATTTACTCACATTTAAAGTCTACAAGTTACCCTTCAAATAGCTGAATACTGTAATAGTCCAACAGCTCATTATCACAGTGCCAAAGAAGTTTAAAAAAATCTCAGTTGTTTTTAAAATGCTATTGTTTATATCACAATTCCACGATCTTCTTCTCTAAGCTTCTCTTTTAATTATACAGTCCTTTTTGATAAGTGAGAAAGTAATGATCTCTTTGGGTGAATAAGTGGTAATCTGATTCAATTCCAGAAGGATAATTTGGCTCCGATATCATGTTCTTCAGACAAATGAGTAGTTAATAGATATACCCCAAAATTAGGATCAAATAGATTCATAATAATGATCCCATATTTTATTAATAATGATCACCCTCAGCTTTTTAAATTTTTTAAAAATATATTTATAATCCTAGAAATAAAAAGATTTTTAGGGGAACTGAAAGGATTAGTTGTCCTAACTGTATGCATATATTTAACCATACAGATCTTCAGAGAACTCAGATTATGGTATTTTGTGTAGTATTTGTAATACTTTATCACCTAGAGTACTTATCAAGTGTGCCTGCAGAGATCACTCCATGATCCAAGCACCTGATGTCTGGCGTTAAAAGGATCTGTTTCTAGCAAATAAACCCTAACTCCCCAAACCACATGTAACCATTCATCACATAATCCTGGGAGGATTATAAACCCTCCATAAGAAGAAAGGAGCAAGGGAGGAGAACACACAAAAAAAGACAAAGTTGGAAACATGACCTATAAGGGATGGGGTGAAATGCTGCATTTCCACTGGGCACAAGGCTAGATCAGGGCAGTGAGTCATTGTGGTCTCACAGTTTAGAGTACACGAGGAATCAACTATATACTCTGACTGATTTCAGTATACCAAAGAGTTGATACTGTGGGTTTCTACACATTCCATTATTTTATAACATGAAGAGTCCAGCTTCACAGTCTCAAAACAGGAGTAAACAAAAGGGGTTGATTTCAACCCTGAGTGAAAAGACCCACCTGTGGTTATTCTAACATCTGTGCACCAAAAAAATACTTGCATAGATAGAAAGCAGAGCTATGGTAGTACCCTGGCAAGTCTTTTGAAAATCTCCCTCTATATTTTTCATTCATATTTATTCTGCCCTCCTCATCAGATGTTAAGTCTGTTAAGGACATGTAGCTGCTCTCTGCTCACAAAAAGTTATCTATAAATATTCAAGACTGTTAGATGAGCTAACCTTTTATCCGACTGTAAGTCTCTAGAAATTTGGAACAAGGAAGTAATAAAGGATGCTGATGGTATTTCAGTTACAGGTTACCTTAAAAAGATAGTGGGCTACTTACTCCAATGAATCCAGCTAAGGAGCCCACTGGGAAACTTGAAAGATCTAGGTTAGGACAGGAGCACTGGATGGCTGGCAACCAATGTCAGACAAAGACTCAGGACTGAAGAAGAAATGAATCATGGGCGGTAGGACAGAGAGCTATCATTTCTTTCTAATTTTTTTTTAATCTTTTCTCAAATAGTTCATTAGAATTCAAGGTAAATGAGAATCAGAAGAGGTGACTAATCAGTGGGGGAACAGACACTGTAGCTTCTTTATTCCATCTTTCAGGTACATGTGATTATAAACATTTTTAGTGAGAAACTTGGGCTTATAGGTAGAGAAAAATTAGGAGTAGATATTTTTAACATTGGTAAAAAGAGTCAAAAGATTATTTTTCTCTGCATGGAAATTACTGAAAATTAGAGTATTATGGGAAATAAACTAAGAAAAAGCCAAAGATGAGAAATGCTCCACTTTCCAGACCAGTGGATAGAGGCTCAGTAGCTACTGAAATGCTTTAAAGTTGCAGCAGGTCCTCACCCAGAGACAGTCTGTGTCCATCACCATCAGGAGAGCAGGCAATACCAACGTCTTCCCCGTGGCTGCAGTCATGCCTTCCCCACGGTCTCCGGGAACACTGAAGGAAACTGCTTTCCTTTCCTGAGCAGCTGACGTCATCCAACCATATGGGCCCTGTGCTTTCTTCAAAGTAGTTTGCAGAGGCTTGTTTGCCATATCTGTGGCAATATAATAAACACTGTGCATACAACTGCTGTCTCTTGTTTCAAGGAACAAGGAACAACTTAAGTAAGCATCATGACTTTAGAGGGTATCTGTCCTATCTCCTATCTTGAGAACTCAGTTCTCAGAGCAGTTTTTGGTCCATCATTTATTTTGATCATCTTAACAATTTCTGACTGAGTGAATGGGTAACTAGTGGATGGATAATCCTTTTTCCCTCATCTATTTTTGTGTTCTGTCTACAATTTAACCCACCAGAAAGAATGCAGACAAAGAGATCAACCTCAAATTCCTGACCATGGTAATAACACAGTGGGCCAAACAGTGAGAACACTTGTCTTATATCACTCTCTGAAGAGCCCTCTGAGCTCATTTGATTTCACTAGCTTCTCTAGGCTTCTTTGGTATCCTCTCTTCCAAAAAAAATGTGTATTAGTTCAGTGATTTCTCAAGCACTGTATCCAATCCATGATGAATCCATGACTTTAGCTCATCAAAATCAGATTAATGACAATGTTCTTAGCTTTTCATAAGATTACATAAATCTGATTTTTTAAATGTTTATAAATTATATTTGTGTTCCAATTGACTTTATTTGTAACACTGCATTATTTAAAAAAAACCTAAATGTATTATAATAAATATATATGCAGTAGAAACAGGAAAGATCTGCAAAATTAAATATTGATAACTAAGTCAGTCTGTACCTTCATTCATCTTCCCCCCAACTTTGTTTTCTTTTGTTCTGTAAAATCCAAACCTCCAGAAATCCCTGAGCCAAAAGGTAATTAAAGTGTCTTTCAGTTCTACGAGTCTATGTAATGAAACTCTTACTCATATTACATCAATCACTTCCATCACTGGATTTTTAAAATTATTTCTGTATGAAGAATAGGAAGAGATCTTCCCATCTGAAAGATGAGTTTTCCTAATCATTTCCCCATGAATTTTCCTAATTGTTTTCCCATGAACTTATTTATTACATTTATTAAGCGAGATGAACATTTTAATAAATTAAAACAATACAACTTTTAATTAGTCAACCTAAGACTTCTATTTTGCTGATTAATCAAGTCTTAGCTAGAAAATTAATTATCCTAAATCCCATATTGCTATCACTTTCAACTTACACCATGTTTCCACAAAATGCATCAATCTGATTACCATCTGTCCATATCAACTATACAACAGAAAACAAGAGGTCATTTTACTTCAAGATTTCATTTGTACAAAGAAACCCAGAGTTCACCCTCTTTCTCATTCCAAAAGAGTATACTCTTTTTTCAGAAATTCCTCTGTAAATTAAAATGTAAATGTAGCACAAGCTAATTCTACACAATTGTTTAGAACTTTTATCAAATATTATTGAGAACATTTTTAGAACCATTAAGTTCTGATATTTTGTATATTCAAGAAAAACTGAATGTATTTGTGAACCAAAATAAGTAAAATATGGAGAAAAAATCAGTATCACTCAACTGTTTTCATTAATAAGGAAAAATGTGTAAATAGTAAATAATAATATTTTTGAATCTTTCTAAATTTGTGAAAACAGAATACAGTTCTCAAACTAACAGAGATTCACTCACAGATGAAACAGTATTTATTAAGTAATTCTTATTCATTATAAACATCCATATTTATTTGCCTGGTATGTCATACCCCTTGACTCGATAATTATAACTGCATTGCCCATGCAAATTCAAAATATTGTGCAATAACATGCATCTATATCTTCATAATATCATTATTTTTAACAGAAAAAATTAACTAAGTAAATTATGATATAAACATTCAATAGTTATTATGTTATTAAAACTTATGACTGTAGTAATCTAAAAGTAAAAAGCATGGATGGAAAAATTATATATCCACACTAGAGCTGTTATAAAGTTATATACGCAAGTTATAGCAATGGTGGTGTAAGAATGGAAAAATTATGGGTAGTTTTTTTTCTTTATTTTCCAACCTTTCTCTAACATTTTATATTACTTTTACGTATTTTAAGACATATGTTTAAACATAGTCATACCTAGCTCAAATGAAAGTGTATTTCTAAGGTTTAATAAATATTTGCAACTGGCTCCATCTCAGGCTGAAATGAAATAATTTTGTTCATTTTTTCAAGCTTGAGACAATTACTTCAAGCATGACATAGAAATATGGAAAACAAGAAAGAATGGGCATTCATGGACTTCATTCAGATATTAGCTCAAAGGCATCATTTGCAGTTACTTCAACCAACTTAAGTCTTTACTCTGGAATGCACTGTGTGTGACATGAAATATAGCGCCCAAAGTGTGATACTCAGTTTTTAAGAGAGTGAGGTCAAGGGTGAGTTCTAAAGGTCACCTCATGACAAGAAAGCTGTTTTTCTCAAATAAAAGTGATAATTATCAGCCCATTCTGAGAAAGGAAATAATGTAATACCAAAGCATCTGACACTGGACTTCTCTGTGATTTCTGACACAGTGATGTCAGTACTAACACCATCCAGTAGGAGTGATGCATCAGAATAAAACTGAGCATTCAAAGCATACAGTCTTACTTGAAGAGACACAATGAACCTAAAAGTCATCCATGGCTCCAACCAAGAAGAGGGGTGGTGGTAGGAAAGGCAAATGAGATAAATAGCAAGATATGGTTATTCATCATCAAAGAAAATGTTGCTTTTTTTTAATTGTTGAACTTCCATATATAGACAGGTAGACATGAAACTAGGTAGGTAGATAGTGATAGAGAACATGTATGTATTTTTAGTATGACAGAAATTACAAGTAAGGATTACAAAATGAGACATTTAAAAATGTAACTTGGCATTTAGCTGCCTCATAACAATGGACCTTACTTAAATCCCAGCTGTCGGCAGACCACATATGTATTCAGCTCAGTCCAGCCATCATCACAGACAGTCCCCCACTGTCCCCTGTAATACACCTCCAGGCGACCCTCATGGCTGCCTTTACCACCTGTAAGTCTGATGACCCCATCTGTGACAAGAAGGAGACACAGAGACTAAGCAAATAATTATCCAAAGAAGGTAAAACAATATTTTAATTTCAAGAGAAACATCACCCTACTCAGATCTCTCTCTATGCCTTTTGTTAAACTTACATTAGAACTGCGCTCAGTGATCCGAGATCACTGGAGTGTTTCAGAAGTAAGTCATAACACATATTGATCCTAACAAATATTCTTTCCTTTTTATTTGTATTCTTACTTTCTAAGTAGAAAAATATATTTTGATAATTTCAAGGTAGTTATTTACATTTCCCTGGATTAAGTAATGTTAGGAAATTTCGTATAGCTTCAATCTTTTTAAGTATGAGCGATACCAGTCATTTAAATTTAAAGAGTAAAAAAATCACAGTAATTGGGAAATAGTTCAAAATTTTAACTGCAAAGGAAAAAACACCGAAATATGAAGACAGAATAAGCTGTTCTGCTTAAAGAGTGATTTATAATAGCAATGCATGTATTATTCCTTAGGCATTCATGAATTATAAAAACTGGGATACATGCTTCACCCTTGTTCTTTTACTGATAATACAGATCTGAATTTGAATCTTGTGAATTCAATGAATAATTTCCAGAGAACCCCATAAAAAGCTTCGAAGCAGATACACAATACAGTAAATTTATTCCCCAAAAAGTATATTTAAAAGCTATTTTCACCCAAAATAACCTGATAAGCCCCCAAATGAAACGTATGAATAATCCTGTGTTAAGGTCATACTTTTCATGAATCTCTGGGATCTCTTAAGGTAAATGAAGGTCTTCTAGCAACAGAAACACTTATTAATGTAACACTTTACTGTCTGCAAAGCACTGTTACAAAAGTGTTACCTTATTTGATCATTACAATGACAGGACAAGACTATCTTCATTTGAAAGAGGAGGAAATGGAGGCTCAAGAAGATGAAGTGCTCCGGCTTAAAATCCGGTAAAAATTTTATATTTCTATCTTATATAAATGTGCTATTCTAATAAAAACAACAGTGTACATAGAACTATGTAAATAAAAAAGCAGAACCTCAGTATTTCACAAGCCCTAAGAAGTATTTCATTTGATTTTCCTAAAGTAAGATTAAACCCCCAAATTTTTTTCTTCAAGCTCTTTTTACTGTAGAAACAATGAATTTGTAATGACCCAACTTCTCTTGCCTGTCCTTTTCCCTCTTCTTCCCCTAAAACATATGTACATTCACACATGCTCATTTGCACTCAGACACACCCATCTTGTAACACATGACGTATCTTGACAAGCATGCTACAGTTTGGAATAGTCTGAATATTGAGCACAGCAAAGGTAACTTGGTTCTTTAATGAAGTGCTTTAAATAATAATCCCATCCATACAGTTTTACCAGTTATAAATACATTCTGAGAGTCAAGGCAGGTAAACAGATAAATGGACTAAACTTTTATAATACCTAATACCCCAAATTTATCATTACATTGATTTTGACTATTGAGTACTATATCTTACAATAAAATCATATTTTCTGATCTAGCTTAGGAGGACAGTGTAGCCTTAAATCAAAAATTCAGAAACATCTATGAAATAAGGAGACAGCATTTTAAGGTACAATTGCATTTTAAAGTTTTATTTGGGGGATTCATGTGTATGCTCATTCAGTAATATTACCTAAACCGAGGAGAAGGGAAGGTAAGCCCAAATGATGCTGGGGGCAAGAGTTGGTAGATTAGTGGGGTGGAACTCCTACCTGTTAGAGGGGTACAGGACACTCCAGCATCTTCTTTATGACCGCAGTTATGCTCTCCCCAGGAACTCTTTGGACACTGCTCAATAGAAAGCTCATTGCCAGTGCAGCGCACTTCATCCAACATCACTGGGCCAGTTCCTTCCCCAAAATACGCCTGACTCCATGCTTTGGCAATGCCACTGAACAAACATGAGAACATATGTTTTATTACCAGCAAATGTTAAATCATGATTAATCCATACTTTCCAAAATCATGATTAATACCATACTTCCCCTTATCAATTCACTCCATAGGTCACATACGACTTGTGCAATTTCTCTTTTGTTTTTTTGTTTGTTGCCCTTTATATTTCTGGCCATAAGAAATCTTTCAAAGGCTGCTAGTTATTCTCCAATATTTACTCTCCTTTTCTTCATTAGTAATGGAACCTCAGATTTTTAGGAAGACAATGGCTCTCCAGCATAAGATCACATTTCCCACCCTCTCTTCCTTCCAGTTGACATAGTTTGTTTTAAAATATACATAACATAAAATGTACCATTTTAACCATTTTAAGTGGACAATTCAGTGGCATTAAGTACATTCACACTGTTGTGCAACCATCACCACCATCCATCTCCAGAACTTTTAAATCACCCCAAACTGAAACTCGGTACCCATTTTAGATAATTAAGGTATTTAGGTTAAAGTGTCATGTATCACTTCCAGGAATTATCTATGTTCCACTCCCTCCTTCCTGCTGACTGTAAGGCAGAGGTGATGGCTGGAGCTTGAGAAGCTGTCTTGGTCCATAAGGTACCACACTTAAGAATGAAAGAACAGTAAGCACGAAAGAGCCTGAGGCCCTGATGACTGTGGAACCACCATACCAGCCATAAGCTGATTATCTCTGGTCTCTTGAGAGAGAAATAAACCCTTGTCTTGTTTAAGCCACTCTTATTTTCAGTTCTCTGAAAATACCGCCAAATATCTCTTCACTCAAATTTAATTGTACTAAATTTACTTCTCCCACTATTCAAAGAAGTACCATATTCTAGAATTCCAGATTTCATTGAAGATTGTAACTGCCTGTCAAAGTAATTAATGACTTCAGAAATTGCATTTTCAGCCCCTTTAGCCTTTTAATTTTTAGACTAGAACATTTTTATTTTTAGTTTGTTTTTCAATGATACTGTATCTATTCCCCATTACTTAAGTTGCCCTTTTCTCATAACATTATAACTATCTTGAGAATTTACAGCCAAAACAAGAATGTAATTTTCACATATGTAAGTTAGATTTTACTGTCCAAACATAAGGTTTCATGGGAACAAAGCCACACTCATTCCCAACTTATTGTCTGTGGCAGCTTTTGCACTACACAAAGGCACAGTTGAGTAGCTGGAAAGTCTAAAATACTCACGATCTGGCCCTTTACAGAAAAAGTTTGTTGACCCTTGCTCTAGAGGAAAGAGATTAATGAAAGCAAATATGGAAACTGATTTAGAGAACACTGAAAGTTGGAGAACAGAGGAGGAGGAGACAGGATGACTAATGTAGGTCATGGGGAAGCCAGATAGGAAAGCTTAGGAGAAGGGCAGATTAACAGCCTCCCTGGATCTTTGCCCCGAGATAAACGCTAGGAAAGAAAACGATCTATTAAAGAAAATTTCAGTGGGTATAATTCACTGAGCCAAGATTAGATGCTATTAAAAAACCAGGGACCTATAAGAGAGAATATAAAATTTAACCCCAAACTCATAACAGAAACAAAAAATAAACTCCAGATGGTTTAAAGAACTAAATAAAGAGAAGGAAAGGAAAGAAGGGAAGGAGGGAGACAGGGAGGAAGAAAGATGGCTAAAAAGTTAATAGAATGAAATAATAAGAACGTAGTTCTTATAACCTTGGTAAAAAGAAGGATTTTCTGAGCAGGAGTTTAAAAAAAAAAAACAGAAGTCAGAAAACAAAGGCTAAAAAAGTTAAACTTTCTCACACATATTTAAACTACTGTATAGCAAAATACACCATAGAGTCAAAAGGCAAACCAACAAGCTGGTAAAAATATGTGTAAACTGTAAC